GCATTACACCACACTGACCTCACCGCCTAACTCAGCACTGCGCACAGTCGAGACATTCAGTAAACACTTGCTGGCAGACTGATGGGCTTTGTGTAGACAGTTGAAGGTTCTGCTTCCTCATCAACAGGCCAGAAGGTCTGAGCTCTGCCCATGAGTTATGCTGTGTTCTGCTGATCCATTCTCTCTCTCTCCCCCCTGCTGCTTTCCAGGAAGGGCACACAATGGCAGGAAAAAATCAATCAATCAAGGGGAGTGTTTTATATTCCCTGCAGGCAACAGGGCACTCATGTGGTGTTCTGTCTTTGAACTTCTTCACTTCTTCGACTTCATCAAGAAAAGCAGTTTTGGTATGGAAAGGGAACAATAAAAACAACAATAAAACTACCCTCAGGATAATATCTTTTTTTTTTTTTTTTGGCCCTCCAGGGAAAGAATAAGCTTGCCCAATTAAAAGCAGTAGCTTGATTTCCAGGAAACATTCACCCATGAGGCTGACCAGGTTGTCCAGAAACACCTCACACTCCCACTCAAGGTGAGAATAAAGTGAAGGGTCAATGCTCAGCGGAATGTAAAGGTATAAAGCGCTGCAGCTGCGATCACATCCCAGGAGCAAGCCTCAGGCCGAATGGCACACGCCTCTCCCCACTGATGACTAAAAGCGCCACATTTACCTGCGGTTCACCCCCCAGTTATAAAAAGAGGTCTCTTTTTATAACTCTTCTCAAGCCTGTTTTCTGCCACCAACCTATTTGAGTTACATACCACTTCCTTTGTTAAACAGAACAACCACAGACTCCTCTTCTTTGCGGCTGCTCCAGAAACTTCTCATCACTCTTAAAAGTGATTGAGAGGCGAGAACAAGAAAATCAGTGTCAAGACTTCCTCCTGTCTTGAGGCATCACACTTGTCTATTTCAGGCCTGGATGTTTTGTCCCCCTTTTCTGGCTGACTGACATTTGGAGGGGTGTGTGTGTGTGTGTGTGTGTGTGTACTGTGCACCTACGCCTTGCCTGTACTATTTGTGGGTGAACTATGACGTTGGCCTGGCACATCAAAGGCAGGTGGTGTACATGCCAAGGCTTCTCTCTCAATGGAAGCATTGTTGCCGCCTGGGCCATCAGTCTCCAGCTGCGCAACCAGAGGATTTGTTGGGAACGCATATTTCAGCAAAGGATAGCCTTCCCATAGTTGAGCCTTCAAATCGTCTAGCCTTAGGATTAAAATTCCTTCTCTCCCATGGCAGTTCGTAGAATTATTCATAAATGTTTTCCGGTTTGAGGAGCTGGAAGAACCGGTGTTGACCTTGTCAAAGGGTGTCCTTCACAAAGACAGGTCAAACGCAAGCGGGAGAGGAGCTCACTCCCTGAGGCACAGGGTGGAGCCACCCTCCCCCCACCTTGGGACTTCACAACCTGATGTCACCACCCTTGTCATTATCACGCACTGAGAGCTGAATGCCTGGAATGACGCAGCCATTGCTCATCAAGAAGGAAAAAGGTCATTTTCCAGGCAGTGGCAGAGCATGAGAAGGCGCAGCAGTGGTGTATGGTATTTAAAATAAATTTTTTTCTTATGTCTTTTCTTGAGAATGATATTTTTAAACGATACCAAAGGTTGATTCTTTTCGTTCTGTCTTTCTTTTTTTGTTGTTGGAGGTGGGCTTTGTTTAGGAGGGCAGTGTTTAAACAGTACAGAATGCAGAAAGACTGGTTGTTTTTTCTGTGAAGTAAACTGAGTTAAAGTTTATTGTGCCAACCTGGCCGATAAACACATGTGGGGTTAATTGAAGGGCGGAGGGATAAATGGCTCAGTGAGCCTCACCTTTCTAGTTCTTGGGTCTCTTGCTTTGTGATGGTTGGACCACAGTGCAGCTGCCTTATCCAGTTCCCTGCTTCAGCTGGC